GGACTATATCCTAAATAAATAGAAAATTTTAATATTGAATGAATTATTCTCTATGCACAAAGAAAGATAGAAAGGGTGACGCTATAAGTTCTTCTATAAACCAAAACTGATTGTTTGGATTTGGTCTCAAAATGAGGAAAAACGCGTTATTGTTCAGAAATTGCAGAATAAATTGTTCGGAATTTGTACCATATCATAAAAAAATAGGAAATTTTAATATTTAATGCATTATTCTCTCTGTACAAAGAAAGATGGAAAGGGCGAAACCGAACTGCTTCGCACAGTTTTCTGCGTACATAGGCAACAAGTATATTAGAAAATGATATGAAAGGACTGTGCTTTTTACCTTTACAAGAAAGGAGATATTAGGAAATGTAGTACCCATCAAGATACATTCCTGTTTAGTCTACCAAACAAATTATACTGAAGAATCGTAGAAGCTGGAATAAGAAATATTGTCGATTGCCAGAGCGATATGGATTGAGAAACTCAAGTTGCACATTGGAAGAGAAGTTGATAATTGGGACTGTCTTCACTTTAAGGCAGGTCATAAAGAAGTCCATATAAAAAGAAAAATAGCTCTCTATCTGCTTAGTGCCTGACACTTTATATTATGCTAATATCTAATTGTCTTTCAGAAAAGCTCGTTTTCCTTTTAGATCCCTTAAAAAATCTTTTGCAAATGCACTAAAAAGAAGGAGAGCTATGAGCTATAACTTTCTTGATATACCTCTCTATATCCTGCTTCAAAGTGAAGATAGTCCCGATGTGCACCTTCAGCAATCGAAAATAAAGTGGTTTTCACCATAATAAACCTACATCGTCCACTTAATATCATCCAAACTGCAATTGACCCCCTTTTAGCAGCATCTTGAAATATTCTGTTCATCTGTCTACTATACATTCATTTAGCTATATAATGGATATTGGTCCTTTTTATCTATTCCGAGGTTTTGGCACATCCTTTCTCATCCGCTTAATGTATTTTTCCGATTTTCGGGTTCAATTTCGTGTTTTTCCTCATTTTGGGACCAAATCCAAACAATCAGTTTTGCTTTATAGAAGAACTTATAGCGTCACCCTTTCTATCTTTCTTTGTGCATAGAGAATAATTCATTCAATATTAAAATTTTCTATTTATTTAGGATAAAGTCCAACCTCTGCACAAAATAAAGGAAATAAACATTAATTTTAATTAGTGATATATGAGTTTTACTAAACAACCCGGTAGCTATTCATTATATATAGTTCAGATTAGGTATATATTATTTTAGTTTATAAAACAGGTATTAATATGACTCATTTCCTGGGAAGTATAATTGAGTATACAATTGAGGTCTTCTTAAACGACCTACGTATAGAATAAAGGAGGTTAAATTAAAAAAAATAATAATACATTTTTTTTTTAATTAAAATTTTTTTTTTACAATTAAATTTTCATTAATATTTGTTCGTTAATAAAACCAATATAATGTACCAAAAATGTTATTATATCACTATAACTAAGCCATTGTACTAAATGGTGTGGTAGAGGCCTGTAGGCACCCATGCCAGTATCGCTTTTCTGCCGCATAAGTGCATTTTCTACGGAACTGCTTAAAATTTTTTAAAAAATAATCAACGTTTTAGAAAGAGAAATATATTCTCCAGATGCTAGATTTGTAACTTGAAAATTTGTTTGTAAAAAAATTTGACTTTACTGGTGTTTTTCATAGCCTAAACCAATTATTTTTTAATATTTCTTCATGTTTTATTATTCTATGACTATTCAGCTTTAATAAAAGACCAACTATGAGGAAATTAAGCCAAATGCTGATTCTCAGTGACCAAAAAACTAACTAAAGTCAAAGTCGTCAATCCGCCATCTTTGGACGCCATTTTGGGGCAGTGCGTTCACTTTTTTTTGTGGGAACATTGGCTTTTTTTTAATAAATAGTTACAAGGAACACAACTAAATGCAATTTATAGGGATGTGGGGGAGGGAGGATGAGGTGCACGGTAAGGGGGTCTGTCCCACAGACCAATTTGGATTGGTAGGGATAGGTTACAGAGTATTTTCCATTTAGATTTGAAGTCGGGAGTATTGGACAGGGCATTATGGAAGTAGGTGGCTTTAGCAAGTCGGACTGCGGATTGGGTTCCATTGCGAAGCCCCTTGAAAGATGCATAATCCACAGGTAGACGTGTTCGACGGTATTTGCGCCTTGCTGCATCTCTTTCCTTCATCATTTCCTTTATCTCACTGGTCAGTCAAGGTGCAGTGGGTCATATCAGTGAGTCATATTTTTTTCCTATTCAACCTTTCAAAGCCGTTTGAACGCCTTGTCCAAAATCAGCTCTCCAACTTCCTAGAGGAACGTTCCCTTATCAACCCATTCTAATCTGGCTTTCGACCTGGCTACTCAACGCAATCCGCTCTCCTTAAAACAATCCATGACCTCCAAAACTCTATTGAACACCTAAACCTTACTAATCTCATCTTTCTAGATTTTTCCAAAGCGTTTGGCATAGTTGACCGTAACATCCTCCTTACTAAATTGCACAAACTTCCTCTATCCAACAGTGCCCTGTGCTGGTTCAAATCCTTCCTTTCAAATTGGTCCCAGTATGTAGTCATCCCAGGTCAACCTCCATCTAAGATCCTCTCCCTCTCTTGTGGTGTCCCTCAAGGTTCCTCTCTATCTCCTACTCTGTTTGCTATTTACATTAATCACCTTACCCTCCTAATCCATCATTCATAATACCATATCTATGTAGATAATTTCCAAACATACCTGTCCTTTCCGCCCTCCGACCTATTAACAGCCACAGAAAAACTTCAAGAAGACTTGGATTGGATTTATGACTGGGCAAGAGCAAACAAGTTGAAGTTGAATGCGGAAAATACAAAGGCAATCTTAGTAGGCTCTAATCATCTCCTTAAAACTGTTCCTAATATTCCAACTCTGTTCCTACACAATAATCCCATCAAATTTTATCCTACCATGAAAAATCTGGGAATAACCATTGATCAAATGTTTTTGGGGAAAAACCATATATCCAATATTTCCTGCCGTACCATTTCCACTCTAAAACGTCTAAATTATTCCCATCACCTATTGCCTTATGAAACCCCTTAGGCTCTTAGTTGCTTCCTTAATTTTTCCCCACTTCGACTATTGTTGTACGGTATATGGGGGCATCACTGAGGATCTCGAGGTGAAACTAAAACGTTTGATAAATTGCTTTGTACAATTCATCTTCCAGATCGCAACGGATATTTCTGTTTCCCATTTTTATGTGGAGTTAAAGTGGCTTTATCCTTCCTACCATCGTAAGTATTTCCTGGCATCCTTCCTCTTTCAAGTCATCGAATCCCACCGTCCCTCATACATCTCCGAGCTCCTTCAATTCAAATCCTCTGTTCTTTCCCGCAATACTTGTTTCCGCTCTTCTAATTTATATATAAGGGTCCATCGGACCGCTGCTTTCGACAAATCGTTCATTATCCGATCCTCATCCCTATGGAACTCCATCCCTTCCCACATCCATCCATTCATTACTCTTCCTACCTTTAAATCCAACCTGTTCAATTATTTCTTATCCATCCAGTCCCTATAAAATTGTAAATAGATACTACTGTAAATATTTATATTAATTATTAGTTCGTTCTTCATTAGTTTTACTCCAATTTTTTTTTTTTATTATTAACGGATCAAAATTAAAAAGTAACTTTATATATATATATATATATATATATATATATATATATATATATATATATATATATATATATATATATTCTTTTTTTTTTTCACTAAGACTATTCAATTACTCTGTATTTTTATTTATGTATCTCTGAGGCTCCTTAGTCCACATTTCTGTCTTGCTGTATTATTCTAAAGGGACTCTTCCCAGAATAAATAACGTATTATTATATAATATTTAATTTAACCACAATCCCCATAAAGTCGTTCTCAAAAATTATACTGATCTTCTGTTCACCAAACAAACAAAACTATTACAGTTCATGATCAGTTTTGATTTATTCAAGTTTCATTGGAAATTGTTGTTTACCGGAGCAAGTGGTGTGTAGAAATGAAGGATGAAAGCTATTATGAAAACTATTAATCACCATATTTAAAAATCATGCTGACATAAAACAAATAACTAACTATGACCTCCAAAACAAATTTGTGATTCATGTACAATGCTGAAGTATTAATATCCCTCAGAATACACTTTTGGACCAAGTATTCTTTTAGGTATTAATTTATATTTTCAAGTAAAATACTTTCTTGTTATAAAATAAACAATAATTTTGATGGTTTCAATTTACATGGAGATAATTAGCTAAAAGCTGGAGTAACAACTCAAGGGAAACTTATAAAAGTTTTTACTTTTATAATCTTTTGGTTATTGAATTCAATATGTAGCTAAGAATTATTTCTAATTGCACTTGTCAAGAAATTACTGTATCAAATTGAATACAAAACACCAACAAATTTAAGATGCACTTGTTTTTTGTTTGGGTAGTTTTGTATGCAATGGAAAATAATAATGAAATACTGGAATACAGGGATGTTGGAAACGGAATTTTCTTTTTTACATATTTTAAGGCACTTAAAAATAAATATCAATATGTGCCTATTTTATTTATTTCTTAGTGTGATAGTAGTTTTTTTTTTTTTTATAAATTTTGTTCTATTTAAAAACGTATGTTGTAAATGTTAAATACAATTTTATAACAGATATTCACTAAATCAAATCATAATTATTTCAGAATGAGTCCATCAAATTTATGTTGGACTGTATTTGAAAAATTCAATTTTTATGAAAAAAGTTTGCCCTAAATTGGATGCAATATGGTAAAATAAAAATTGAGCAATCACTTAATTGGTTTTAATGTTTTAATCAAAACAAAGAAGTAAACACATTAAAATATTACATAGTTTCATAAGTATTCTACTGAATCAAAACCACTTTAGTTTTATTTATTTTTTATTTTTTCAATTATTCAGACCAATGGAAAAGCCATCATGATGTTCATACGGTGGAATGGATTCAGGCAGCTACTAAGGTTCATCAACAGGAATTTGTTTTGTCTGAAGAGGAGGATTCTGATGAAGAAGCTAAGGGAAGCGTGACTGGAAGTACTAAAACTGGTGTTTCTCATGAAGGAGAGGATGAGGAAGAAGAAGAAGATGACAGCGATGATGATGATGATGCTGATGCTTTACAAAGCACTAATAAATTTCAGGCATTAAATCTTGCAGATTAAGTTGGTCTATTTTGTTAAATTAATATTATTGTTTTGTAAATATTGTTAAATTTCAGATATCTAACATTTGTTTTCAAATTGTAACATTGTTAGTCATATGTGTCCGATGATAAACTAGTTAAAGAATTTTTTGACATCACCCGTTTCAATAATAATTCAATATAATATGGGTAACAGATATAGACTTGTTTTTGCTGAACCAAAGATTTAAGCTTGCCACTGAACCAAATTCTATTCTTTTAGAGTTTAACTGTTTTGATACTCTAATCTTAATTTATTTATGAAAAAAAAATGAAAGATAAACAAAGCTTATAGTAGAACAACATATGCTTTGTTTACTAAAATTTCTAAATTTTGATTTTTACTTTAAAGACATAAATGATTATTTAGCAATAATCAGCTGTGAGATTCATTAATCAAAATAATGCTGCCAGCTTTATTATTTAAATATTTGTTTAAAATTTGAAAACTTACCTTTTTAGTCATGTCAGTAGGAGTATTTCATGTATCATAAGTTAAACCCTCCTTTCCTATGATCTATTTTCAAGTACTTATATTTTTAATTCTGTAGTATTTGTGAATATTATAGAAGAACTATTTTACTTTCATTTATGTATTATAAATGATGGAACACTTTTTTTCATTTATTTTTTTAATAAATTGTAAATTAAACCATGTGGAAACTGAATTCTGTTTTAGCAATTTTTTTTCGTAAAACTTTCGAATTTCATATGCCCATTGTGTAAAATTTTAATCCAGCAATTAACTTGTCTTAATTTTCCATTTTTCTGATATATATATATATATATATATATATTCTTTTTAAATTTAAAAAATCTTATCTTGGTTATAACAAATCTGGTTAGGTTTATTTGATGTTAATTAGGGTTTTAATTTACATTTTTATCATTTAATGAAATAGTTGTTACTGCTTCTTGTTTTCAATTAAAGTCCTAACTTGAGGAATATTATATTTTATGTACGTCATTATTTTGAATAAATGTTAAACTTAAAGACTGATAAAATTTTTATAATTAAATGTTTGTTATTATTTTTATTCCTCCTTGATAAGTCATTTGTATTTATTGTAACTGTTCAGCTTAAGTAACTAGCATTCATTGTGTTTTCACACAAACACCTTCTTGCTTGTATTTATAAAAGTGCATGTGGATACTATATTTTTTGCTTTCTATTGTATCAGAAATTTTTTTGGCAGAAAGTATGGAAAAAATGAAAAGTAGCACAAGTGTGCTATGTATAATCAAGAGATTATTAACATCAAGATAATGAAAATTCCAAAAATAGCTCTTTGTCCAAAGATGCTCAAAAGTAATCTTTAGAATTCCTATTCCTATTCATTGACTGTAGATTAACAATAATTTTGTCTACAGTTTATTAAGATATAACATGTTTCTAGTGCATCCCTTTTTTCACTTACTTTGATTTACAGAAAACACTATTGTCTGAAATATACTTTGAAATAATGAAGAGAAGAATAGTTGGGGTGCTCAGTCAAAAAAAGAAGGCAAAAAATAAATTATAATATTTATTTTTTACATATGCCGACGTTTCGACCTGAAGTTCAGGCCATTATCAGGGCTAAGAAAATAACCAGATAACAAGGTATGAGAAAATAAAATAGATTAGATCTAGATAAAATAGATCTAAATAAAAGAAAAATAAAATAGATAGATATAAAGTAAAATGAAATTGTTAGAATAATGACTAAGAACTAAGAGATAAATAATAAATAATAAATAAATAATACAGACTGTTACATAGTGTGGAATGATGAAGTATGCATAATCAAAAAGGGGGTGACAAAAGTGTTACATTGGGAATCTTAGATTAAAATGTAAAAACATAAAAAAGAAATATAAAGTTATATAAGAAATGAGAATAAAATAAATAGTAAAATTAAAAACATTGAGAATGGAGTAGTTAGATAGAAAATTGAGATATTGTAAAGTCTATCAAGATGTACAGACAATGTATAATATAATAGAGAGTTAACAACAGAGAAAAGGAATGAAAGGAAGAGGGGAAGAAATTGAGAAAGCTGAAATAAGAAAGAAATAAAAGAAGTACTACCTTTCTCCTTAAGTGTCAAGGGGAGAATAAAGTCGTTACAAAGAAGGTGGAGAGAGAAGGGATGTGGAGGTGGCGTCATCTCTAACGGTTATCGGACGAAGTTTGAACTAGAAGAATGCTAGAAGCCTAAATAGGTACAAGAGATATATTATGTAGAAAAATTATGGAATATTGAACGAAACATTCGTTCTTTTATTTCTTTCTTATTTCAGCTTTCTCAATTTCTTCCCTCCTTCCTTTCATTCCTTTTCTCTGTTGTTAACTCTCTATTATATTATACATTGTCTGTACATCTTGATAGACTTTACAATATCTCAATTTTCTATCTAACTACTCCATTCTCAATGTTTTTAATTTTACTATTTATTTTATTCTCATTTCTTATATAACTTTATATTTCTTTTTTATGTTTTTACATTTTATTCTAAGATTCCCAATGTAACACTTTTGTCACCCCCTTTTTGATTATGCCTACTTCATCATTCCACACTATGTAACAGTCTGTATTATTTATCTCTTAGTTCTTAGTCACTATTCTAACAATTTCATTTTACTTTATATCTATCTATTTTATTTTTCTTTTATTTAGATCTATTTTATCTAGATCTAATCTATTTTATTTCCTCATACCTTGTTATCTGGTTATTTTCTTAGCCCTGATGATGGCCTGAACTTCAGGTCGAAACGTCGGCATATGTAAAAAATAAATATTATAATTTATTTTTTGCCTTCCTTTTTTGACTGAGCACCCCAACTATTCTTCTCTTCATTATCCAAGACAGTCAACCAATTACCAATTATATATACTTTGAAATAGATATTTGAAAACACACGAATTTTATAACACGATTTATAAAAATTTATAACTTTTCAAACTTATAAAAATATTTCGGATAATGACATACTTTGATTTTATTTTGACATGTTCTTATAATGTTACATTCAGAAAACCATCAGCAGACTCTTGATGGTAAAATGCATCTTCTGATTCAACATGAACAATAAATACCATTTAAGTAAAGGAACATCTATGGTCTAAGCAGATGCAGACTAGTCCTAGAATAAATTTAAAAGTTATTTCATACAATGATTCTTGTTAGAAATTTGGAAATAGAAGTTAAGAACGATCTCTTGATGACAATGGTGAGCAACCATGCAATACCATTACTAAAAAGAATTCAAGGTAGAAGTGTTTTATATGCGGGCTTGACTATATAGTGTTTTACATGCTTCGAAAAACATCTTGACCAACTGTGAGCATTGTTGAAAAATACTATCGTTTTGGAACAGAATAGGAAAAAAAAAAACTTTTTTCTGAGACAAAGTCACTTTAGAAAAATAAAGATTAATTCTGGCCATAGTATCATTGTTATTTAACAACTAAAATGTATCCACAAGTAGGTAAGTAATCATCTAAAATATATTTTAAAAAAATATATGAGTGAAGGTGTAGCAAAATATTTGCTACTGTAATAAAATAATAGAAAATAGGAAAGTTAGATTAGTTCTATAAACAAAAAATCTTAAACATAACAAAAACGATGTTTATTTATGAAAAATAAGGAAGGTTGCAGAATTTAGAGCACAGAAAATTTTGACATGTTTTTTTCTGTTTAAGTAAAAACTATTTAATTTTAATCTAGTTTATTTTGTTCTATTTAGTTTATTTAGTTCTATTTAGTTGTTTTGACCTTTATTTGGTCAATGACAAAATTTTGTCTTGATCCATGATTTTCCCTACTGTGAGCTGTAACAGGGTGGTGATCGACCTAGAAAACAGGGAAAACCTGGAAAAGTCATGGAATTTTCAAAACCTGGAGAAGTCAGGGAAAAATTGTCAAAGTCAGGGAATTTTCAAAACCTGGAGAAGTCAGGGAAAAATTGTCAAAGTCAAGGAATTTTTTTTAATTCGAAAATATTCTTTTTAAATTGGAATTCATCCACAGTGGATTAATATAACGACCCTATAATTGTCATAGACGACCGGACCATCTTTATATTTATATCGTTATATAACCTATATCTATCCACCACGGCCCTGGCCGTTATATTGTAATTAAACAAGGGTAATGAATACAATGTAAGCAAAATGGAGTTAAAACTGTGCTTTTTAAAAAAGAAAAATATAACAATACTATTTACTATCTGTTACCTCGGGCTCATTACCGCGTATGGGGAACGTCCCACGGGTGGCGGATGTGGGGATGGTCGGTGGAAATTCCTTGGAAGTTCCTCTCGGCTAAGTCCGATGGACTCGCTGACCAACAATGAGAGGGGCCCTCCAGACTTGCTGGAGGGAGGGGACCTCCAGACTTGCTGGAGGTAGGGGCCCACCAGACTTGCTGGAGGGTGTGACGTAGGACTGAACGCCCTACTCACATATCTTTAGTTCACCAAACACCACAAAAAGTCATGGATCTCCCTAACGTAAAACGCTCATTATCCGTAGGTAAACTAGTCCCCCGTTCGGGTCTCCGGGTGGGGACTGCTTTAGGGGATTCATGGCGCAAGTTGAAATATAGGGATTTAAATATTGGTACGTGGAACGTAAGGAGTTTAAACACAGCAGGGGGGCTAAAATCGGTCGCGAATGAGGCAAATGGGTACAATTTGGATGTCGTGGCTCTGCAAGAAGTTCGCTGGCCAGGGGAGGGCTCGATGAGGGAAGGAAAGTACACTACTTGGTACGGAGGAAGCGGGAATCATTGTTTAGGTACCGGGTTTCTAATTAGGAGTAGATTACTATCCGCTTTGAGCGACGTACAATTCTTTAGTGATAGAATTTCGGTAGCTATATTTCAGGGACGTTGGTTTAAAATCGCATTAATAAACATACATTGTCCGACCGAAGACAGTGATGATGAAGTCAAAAGTGAATTTTACGATAAACTCGAATGGGTTTATGATAA